TCAAGGATGATTTATGAGGATTATGAGGATTTCGGGAAGAGTAGTATTGTTTCAAATTGAATTTAAAAGCTAAACCCCTTCAGAAAGGAGCTGAAGAATACTTCACCAACATCAAAAGATATTGGAAAGATGTCAACAAGAACACAACGAAAATACTCGAAGAGCTGCCAAAGGTCTACCCAAAGGTCTGGTCTATCTCGTTTTAAGTGATGACAGCAGTACAAAATTCCAAGTAAATTCAGAGGGCGAAAGTAGTGTAAGGGTAATTGTCGTGGTGTAGTGGCTGCACGCGCACAGATCGGGGAACAAGCCCAGCATTGTGCCACGTCCAGGCAAACCAAGCATCCCTCCAACGTCGGCTAGTAGGTATACCAGACAGAGAGATAAAAAACGGATTTTACATCTGCTGGCTCCTTTCAAGACATTTAATAGGTCATTGCGATTTTGTATGGAGTAAAAGTCCTGCATTCCTAAAGGGACTGACAAAGGCCGAATGCTTCATCGTTCATCCTTCAAGGACATCCAGTTCAGAGAACTGCAGTAGAAGAGGTAATTCTTTGAATAACGCTGCTTTCGGGAGACCATTGGGTTTCACAAAATGAAAATGTTGATATGCTTTAAGATATGCTTTTTTAGACGTTGTCACCTGCATTAATGGCACGAGTCAGGATCAATTTGATGCATTATTTTGTTCAGAAACTAGGCAAAGGTTGCAACATTTTTGAGGAACATTAGTGGGAAAAAACGAAACTAAATTTTCCCTATTATGGCAGCCGTGGTATGACGGAGAGGCACAGCGCTGCGAGAGAGGGAAAACGCGAGAGAGTACGTCGTACGCGAGAGGAGCGCAGAGACCACGTATGCCGTGGTTGATAAGGGCAGCATGGCAGCACACAAGGCAAGGCCTTAGCGCCGTTGCCTCGCACTTTTGAGTCGCGACAGTGGCGCGCCCGCCTGGGACCCCTCTTTCTCGTTCTAGAAGGGACCGTCTCTTAGGGTCTAATCCCGACTTGAAAGCAGTGATTACGATTCTATAAAGGTTTAGAGGAGACGTGGTGGTGCTCAATGGTACGCCAGTGGCGAAAAAGCGGAGAAATCCGTCAAGAAAACGCAAAACGGGACCCTCTTTTTTGGCCGTTGGTTTTCACTCATGAACAGGTAACAGCTCAAAGCGGACGTATGAACGAGTTCATCGCAACGCGTTTGGTGGCACCATGCCAAACCACGCTCCAATCGAGTTGCTCCAGTTGTGCCGCTGCTGGCAACGCAGCTCGTCCAAATCACCAACTAAACTAGTGGGCGGATCGCTTTTGGGGGCGGAGTGCTTTCGAAGTCCTGCTCAGCAACCAGCGCACCTTTCGTCGTGAAAGCGCCACACCTCGCTTCCTTGGCAGCCAAGTAACTGCTTCGTGTGGTGCATATGCTTCGATGCGCTCCCTCTTTATCGTAATCGCTTCCTTTGGGGCTCTAAGGTCGTAGGCGCACTCCACAACCGTATCATTATGGGTAGCTGTAGCTGGAGCAGTCAGTCGTAAACCAGCGAGAGCTAATACAGATTATGGTTATACTTTTGATCTGGACGGTGTAGCCAACAGCAATAGAGTCGCAGAACCGAATCAGTACTAGCGCTAAAGTTCACAGGATCACTGGGAATCACGTACACGATTTTGGTCCCAGTTTTCTTCTTATGGCAATGAAATGGCTATACCATTTCTTGAAGTTTGCTACGGTCGTTTGTCCACTCAGGTTGTCCATCCCTCAAAACGCTCTTCAGGAGGATAGAGGCGCAAGCTCCTATTCCTTGCAAGTCGTTGGGCATACCGAAACAGGAAGGGTGCCCGACAGGAGGCCCGTCGCGCGGCAAAAGGCAAAGTCAGCGGACGAGTCGCAGCGCGTACTATAGGGATTTCGCGTCAAAGTTAATAGAGTGTACCATTGCACGTCCTACATCGCACATCACGCGCTGCGACTCGTCCGCGACTCTGCCTTCTTGCCGCGCGACGGGCCTCCTGGGGGTACCCAACAACAGACATCATCTGCCCACGTCCCTGAATGGAGTCGGATGCATGCAGTGAGGCGTTCACAAATTACGGCCACATTGCGACTGTTTTCGTCATTTTATTGTTTGCCGTATAATTCTTGCACATCGACTGTCGCAGCATCTGAGTCGGAAGGCATTGCAGATAAAAATTTACCTGGAATTATAACCTGCACGGCTCTGCAGCACTTATTTACGCGTGACTGAGTAAAGTCAGAGACAGCAACAGTAGTATACCACAGCCTAGATTATATGATAACTCTTAACACTTTTTGTTAAGATAGTTTTTGCGGCAGGCTCATTGCACGATCGTCGTTCGTATTTTTATTTCTTAAAGGCAAACCCCGGGATTAGCCCGACTAGTAGGAGGATACCACGAGGGAAATTGTAAGGTCCGTACCTACCTAGATCACTCCAGCTTCGTCGCAAAAATTGCGCGGTTAGGGCGCTAATCCTTACGGGCCTGCAACCATCGACCCCCGTTCCAACGCTTCCCACCCACCGCGAGGTGGTGAGATCAGCGTGCATTGATGTAGAGATCAGCGTGCTCTCTCAAACGACGTGCTCTCTCGCGTATTTTGTCTTCTTTGACCGCCCTTTCTCGCCATCGTACCACATCCGACCTATTGAAGGTTAAGGCCTTAATTTCAGCGTTCCCAAAGATTCTCTTGCTTTCCTTTCCACTTTCAGGTCGTTCCGCAGCTAAGCTATCACTACAAAGCGCTGATAGCACCAGTTTATTCCCGGTTTGCCTTTGAGGTGCAAACGCCTACCCTAATCAGTACCTTACCTACGAGATATATGATTACGCGTCCACAGGAACGGGCCAGCTTGAGCGTAGCGTAATTCCATACACATTCAGATCCCCAGGCCATGCATAATCACGGTGTCACGTGCGATGTCCTGTCTTATACGGTACAAAGTTCTTCTGACACCTCCATTGCCTTACCGTACTTGTCTTGGGATTGTTTTCCTTTTTGCTATCAAAATATTAGAAAGCACTATTCAAGAGTGAGTTGCAATAAAGGAAGATTTTTCAGGTCTACGAAATATTGTCCAATTTGGACCTCACCTATGGAGACATGTATAACAAGGTTCGCGATCTGAAGCTCGACATGACCACCACAGTATCTTTGTACGCAGTTGTGTTGGCTGTTACTCACACTAGTGGGGCGCAAAATCCTTATCTTACGGACACTGCGATGTTCTTTGAAGGTGAGTGTTTTCAAATGCCACCATAAATTCAGATTCTTAGAATACGGCCAGTGTAATTAGTGAATAACTTATATGGACCAATATAAAATAACTTCGCTGATAGCACTGTGAACAGTCGCAGCACGCACTTATTATATTGATTTCGACTTGTTTCGGTTAATAACTGCTGTTTTAGGCCGATGTCAGACTTTGCGAATCGCGCGATTCGCTAGCGTCCGCGGTCGCGTTGCGGTACCAGCCAATTGAGTGATTCACTGGCCGCGACGCGACCGCAGACGCTAGCGAATCGCGCGATTCGCAAAGTCTGACATCGGCCTTAAGTACGCGGTCTTTCCAAAGACCACGATCAGTACTGTGAGCATTTTCTCGTTGCAAATGGGTGTTGTGAGCATTAGCTCACCTCTCTAAGTTAGAGTGCAGAGAATTGACACTCGAGACGGCTAGCCAACTCAGATAGCTGTGAATTTGTTTTTCAGGAGCTGCCGCTCCCAAGATGGAAAATCTCTTTTACCACATCGACAATTGAATGGACCACTCATTTTCATTGTCTGTATAAACTTTTTGAACCATGTTTGTGCTGCAGAGTTAGACCCACAAACAGACGAACACATTCTTTCTCATACATCACGCATTTCTTAAATTTTATTGCGGAATGAACCGGATAGAGGCGAACAGGAGAAATGATAGCGTGTAGTACGAACTTTTCAAAAGCGCAGATGCTCAGCGGCAAAAGGGCCACACACCACGCGGACAGTCCGAGGATGATATCTCAGATTGCTCCCTGTACATGCCGAAATATCATCTCTCCAGAGCAGGGTCAACCCTACTTTTGGTACTTTTTAGAAACTTCACCTCCCTTTCGTCGGGGGGCTTGATGCGACCTTTCCCCCTTCATGGAACGTGTGTGCATGGGAACATTTGATGCCTCAGGATTTATTTTTTCAAGGCACTCTTCAGTTCTGCTCTTCGATCTATTTAAGAACAAAAGAAACAATGTAAGCAGCACTTCATGCAGTCAGAA